TGAAGCACATTTCTAAGCCTATAAGTTTCTTACTAGATGAGCTAACGGGGTCAATCAATCGTCATTTTGTAGAGCGTTTTTTTACTGCATCTTTTCTTCATAGAGACAAATTTACAACCACTTGTTTTACTATAGAAAAATTTATTATTCAAATCGAGTCAGGACTTCTGGCCCACCCTTTACACAAACTTATTTTGTATCCACATAGCGACACTATATACGGTAAAACTTCTTACAGTGGACATCTTCCTATAGTGGGCACGCCAATATAATGAACACCGTGATCCGACGGAGCGACTTTTGCTGGAATTCGCCCTCTGCATAACGAACGCTTCTCTACCGTAGACAACTCCGTATAGCGAACGTTTTTGAAAGTCCCAACCGTCAACAGTAGGCACATCAGGAATGATTTCGGGTGACTTTTGTAAAATGGAGTTTTCAAGGATTTTTTATGCATTTTATACTGTCTAAAGAAATCTAAAAGTAGGATTTTTGTGATACTTTTTATGCTGTATGAAAAATCCATCAGAATCAGATTTTGTTTCGTTTTCTACATGATACAGTCGTATAAGGCCTTTAACAATAGCATTAGGACGATAAGTATTGATGTATACCGCCATATGCCTGTGAGATCCGACCTCAGTACGACGCTTATGCTAGCGCGTGCTATCTTCGTATTGGGTCGTATACGGCACGGTAACATGTGACCGTAAAACGGTGATATCTACACGTTAAATCATGATTCGTGCATGGTCGTACGTTGTGCGTTTACGATCATCATAATGCTCAACCTGGACGATAAAAGTATCGTATTCTGTGCGACGTGCTTATTTGTCGTTTTGTTTTTTATTTCAGATTTATTAACATATCATTGTAGAAGAATCACGGCATTAAAAGACAATGAAGAATATGATGTCAACAATTCGTATACGCTAAAAGCTTTTATTAAGGTAAGAATGAGAAAGCATCTTTTATCACAAAGACAGTGTGTTTGTTTATGTCTAAGTTTTCTACTTTTTCCGATAATGTCTCCCTAGCCCAGTCATGGACTTTGTTTTCTAATTTTCAAACATCTCGAGAAATATTTGGTTTTCGTAAAAACTGTCAAAAAATTCGTCTGTTAGCTGATAAATATAAACATGTATTTTTTTACTTTTTCGAATTCTGGAAATCTTATCGCACATCATTTAATTATTAAAAAACTCGTGCTAACGAACTGTCACTTGACATTCGTCTTTTTCTCCGTTATCCTGATGCATTTATTATCTAAATCTGTAGAAAAACTATGTGATACAATTGTAAATCCGCACAGATTTTATTTTTCAAATCGTGAATTTTTATTTGTTTTGTTTTGATCACATGTCTTTAACTGATCGTAACGGAATTTTCTCTAGTCAGCACTGACATGGATTTTTTTGTTTTCGCTAATAAACAACAGCAACGTTTCGGCTAATTGAATGCCTAATGAATTCTTTTGTTTAGGAATTAGGAAGTGCGATCGAAGATGACACGCGGAGTGAACTTATAATCAAACGCAGATATAAAATTGTAAGTTATCGGCATATCGACTAAATATGGGTAATGTACAAGAAACTTGTAGCCAAATCCTACTGCTACACAATGAATGTAATGGCTGGCCCATAATAAATGGTCCACTTTTACATTTCATTTTTTCATCATCTAGTACGTTTTATTGAAAAACTAAATACATTACAAGATGCAGCGCGAAAAGCTCTACAAGCTGTTAAAAAGCTGTTAGCACAATCCCTACCGGTTTAAAATGTGAAACATGATATAACTGCTGTAGCTAGTTATAGAGGGAAACGTCAAGAACAAAAGTTGAATTATTCTTCCGATAATAACGAAGAAAACAAATCTACACCATTTGGACTATCCGATACAGTCATGCACTATGAAAATATCTAATCCATCACTTCTATATCGCGTTTCACAGATCGGTACAAATCAATGTTGTGGGATGGGTCCAAATTTCTATCCCTATACTTCAAGTCTCCTTTTAGATCTGTTTCTCAAAGTGTAGCTTATTTTATACATACACTTTTCATTTTCAAAATGAACAAAATTCTGTGTGGTTAATTTTTGATGTTGCGAGCAAGATCATTTATTGGTACAAGGCGAAATTCCTTGTCTTACTTCGTCAATTATTGAATCATAGTTTTAAACTTTATTCTATTGTATATTGTTGTAACTGAAACACATATCGATTTTTCTAAATTGGACTATCGATTATGACCATCGATACGACTCGTTAACTGAAGCATTAAAAAAAGAAATTCGTCGCGTACCAATAAATGATTCGTAGCGTCGAAATTTATATCGCTCAAAATTTTGTCCATTTGAAAACAAAAACGGCAACTATAAAATAAGCTGTCCTATGTAAACTGTAGAGTTTTTCACGCTGTATCTTGTGGTATGTTTTGTTTTATAATTTCGCGCCGCTAATACGTGTGAACGCATTAAAAGGACAAAAATAGAACCTGTGTCGCAGGTCCGAAATAGTGTCCGAAGCCTTACAATGCGTTAAATCTGAATTTTATACCAAAAATGTCTCCGAACGCAGTATTTTGTCGAAAAATCGACAAAACTAAGCCTTCGGAAGGCTTAGAATGTGTCAAACGAGGGTTTTCGCAGCCTGCGGATATTAGGTCGCATTAGAAGATCCGAAGGTGTTAAAATGAAGGTTTTTAATGCGTTTGAAGGAGTGCAATGTAATTACAGACGCCTTTACATACATTAAAAAAGTTGTCGAACGCACACAGATAGTGAATATTTGTCAAGACGGTGCACCCGTTCCACATCATAATGCGTGTTAAAGTGTGGTGTAATGGGGAACGCCTTCGCATGGATTTAAAACTGGAACGCATGTAAACAATGAATTTTCTTAGTCCATGTCAAGGCATTCTAACTTTTTTATGCGTTCGAAAGAATGCGATATGATGACAAAGGCCTTAGCATGCATTAAAGCCGTAGAACCAGTGCGAAATATTTTGATTCCTTTGCATGTATTCCATTATTTAATGAATGTGAAGGGGCGTAATCTAATGATGAACGGCTTTGCATGCATTTTACCGTTACTAACGCATGTGACGGCATTTGAGTTTTTAACTTTTTTCATTCATTCAAACTTTCAAAGGCAGTCGCACGCGTTAGATTCTTATCATAAGAATTAATGAATGTTTTACAGTCATCCTCTCCATAGCTGATGATCCACTAAGTCTGATGACTACTGACTCACATGAGTCATGGTCTGTAGCTTATACACCTGAAACTTCGGTTCTGAGTCTTCGAAGACTTTAAGAACAAGGACTTTGAAGTAAATTTCCAAGTTAACTTTAGGAAACAGTGCGCACGACATATTGAATGTTTGTAGAGATTCCGCTTTTTCCACTACTACAAAATTATGCGGACGATTTTAAAGATTATTACGTTTCGGACGGAAGAAAACAGGGCACACCACTGTTTGTAGGAGAAAATAAAACTGCGCACTTTAGAGTGCCCACAAACAGTAATATTCGCTGTTTTCTTCGTATCGAAAAGTATCCATCTTTAAAATCATCGGCAAAAACTTGTAGTAAGAATACTAGGAATGTAGCGAAAAAGCGGTATCTTTGCAGTGTCTAAACGCGTTGGATTGCATTAAAAACGATTATCTCCTGTTTAGCGCCTTCGAATTCCTTAAAAATATGTTGTTCTTTCATAATGCGTTAACATCCATTTGATTCCACAAGCTTTGTACATCCCATGAAATAATTCTGATACTCTAACGCGCGTTAGCAGGCGTTAAATAAAAGAAAAACTTAATGCGTTCCGTAACATGTCATTTCGTGAATATCCTCCGTGTAAGATCGCTTTGCCGTTAGTGACTCTCAAGATGTAGCGACGATCAGCTCGGTTCTGTTTGACGTCAGAGGATTGGGGCCCAGCCATTCCGCCTCATTCATAGAATATTAGATTAGCTCTAATAACGAACTAATCCTAGCGATAATATCCTCGGGTATACATTCTCTGAAAGTTCAAGCGTGAATGTTTTCTTCACATACGGGAAGCGTTACCTTATCGGTAATATTCTCACGGGAACCATAAAACATGAAACCGCTCTCAGTTTTATTTTGAGGTCAAATGCCAGTTATAGGTCGAACCATAATTGAGACATAACAATATATGGGAGAACTCTGAATATGAAGCTGTTTCAAAATTTTTCTGAAGTTGAAGAAGCCGTTAACGCAATTCCTATGACGACTAGAAGGATAACGCCGAGAACGGCATATTTTATCCAATTCCAGGTCCAGGAAGCAATCGAAAAAGGAGTCACCGCGCTTTTATCACGAGAATCATTGCTAAAGATGACAAAAGTTAACCCTTAGAAACAGCTTCACCTTTTATTAAATAACACTCACGTGAACTCGTCGAAGTTCTTGTTTACAAGCACATCAGCCCATTTGTGAGATGTTTTTGCCATCATTGCACCAATGCCTTTGAGAAAGTCATCGATCACACGCCATGAATGGCCAAAGCAACGGAGCGTCGTGTAGAGGAGAGTACTGAGAAACCTAATATTAATTTGTTCGCGGCAAAAAGAGAATAGATCACTGAGATCATCAATAATAGAGGAATGAGCAAAATCAATATGGCTAATTCGATCATCTTCCATGGGGACAGGTTCTTGGCTTTCGCTTGATTCTGTTTCTGAGGCAGGAACCGCTGGAGGATTGGAGAAACTTCCTGTTGACCATCGTTTGCCTGCGGCTAGGCGACGAGTCCTCTGCTTTCGGCTTGTTACTGGCATAATTTGAAGTTCGAGAAAACGTTGGAAGTCAAAGAACTCAAATACGACCGAAAACCGCTGCTACCAAGTTCTTCACTCTACAAGAGAAGGTAGTGAAGAGTAATTTTTACTAGCTGCATGTTTCTCTTACAACAGAGACTCCCGATGTAAC